AACAAACAAGATGATGTACAGTTCTATCATCCCTCAAATTCTCCCATACCCTTTTGTCGTCAGCCCCTATAGTTCTGCTCTTTCCATGTGTAATGAAACTATACCATGTGTAGTCATGTATATCTGCATCTTTGACTCTACAATGGATTTGAGATTCATCCATGTCGTATCAGTAGCTTCTTCCATTTTATTGCTGAGAAGTATTCTGTGATACAAATTGCACTACCACAAATCGTTCTTATACTCACCAGCTGATGGACATTTTGAGTTGTTTGCAGTTTTTAGCAATTATGATTATAGCCGCTATGAACATTCAGGTATACATTTTTATGTGAACCTAAGTTTTCATTTCACTTGGATAAAAACGCAGGAGAGGAACTGCTGGATCACATGATAAATGTATATTTCACTTTATAAGACACATAACTTTTTACTTTTTTTTTTTTAAATGGCTATACCATTTTGCATTCCCACCAGCAATGTATCAGAGTTCTAGTTGCTTTGTATCCTCATAAGCATGTTGTATTACCAGGTTTTTATTTTCTTCTTTAGCCTAACAGATTTGTAGTTTTAATTTGTGGTTTTAATTTGCATTTCTCCGATGACTAATGTTAAGTTTTTTTTCATGTGCTTACTTGCCATTCATCTTTGAAATATTTGTTCAATTCTTTTGACTATTTTTAAAAACTGAGTTGTTTTCTTACTATTAAAATTTTGAGAGATTTTTATATTTATCCTTTATCAGATGTGTAATTCGTAAATACTGTCTGGCCTACTGGATTATCTTTTTGAATGCTCTTGAAAGTGTCTTTTAGTTCTTAATTTTGAGGAAGGTCAATGTTTGTACTTTTTTTTCTTATGAACAATGCTTTTGGTATTATATCTAAGAAATCTTTGATTAATCCAAGGTCCCAAAGATTTTTCTCATATGTTTTCTTCTAGAAGTTTTACAGCTGTGGGTTTTACACTTAATTCTATGATTTGAGTTAATTTTTGTATATGCTGTGAAGCATATGGATATCCAATTGGTTCAGCACCATTTTTTCAAAGATTATCCTTTCTCCAAAGAACTATCATTGCACCTTTATCAAAAATCAACTGACCATGTATTTGTGGGTCTACTTCTGGGTTTTCTATAGTGTTTCTTTCATCTATGTATCTATCTTTTCTTCAGTACCACACTGTCTTGATTACTGTTTACAGTCTTGAAGTCAGGTATTGTGAGTCTTCTAACTTTCTTCTTTCTCAAAATTCTTTGGGTTATTTTTGCCTTCCCTTCCCAAGCGGTGCACTTATCCAGTGCGCCACCGGGCCGGCCCTTAACTTGTCACTTTCTACAAAAAATTCTGCTTAGATTTTAACTGGAAGTGTGTTAAATCTATAGCTCAGTTTGAGGAGAACTGACATCTTAACAATATTGAGCCTCCCAAATAATGAACATGATATATTTTCATTTATTAAGCTCTTCTTTCAATACTGTTTTGTAGTTTTCAGTATACAGATCTTGCACATATTTTTAGATTTACAACGAAGTATTTCATGTTTTTGGTGCTATTGTAAATGATACATTTAATAAAATTTCAACTGCCAATTGTTCATTGCTAAACAACTGGTTTTTCAATTTAAAAAGCATTAGATGTACACAGTAAAATATCCAGTATAAATGGTGCACAATTCAAATTAAGTTTCTTGACCACTATAGATCTCTACTTTTCTATTGAGAAAGCTAGTGTTAACAGTTTCTTATGTATAATCCCAGAAATGTCAACTAAATGTGTGTATATATATATATATAATTATATATACTGAATTCCACCTTGCCTTTTTCATTCAGTTAACAGTTTCTTATGTATAATCCCAGAAATGTCAACTAAATGTGTGTATATATATATATAATTATATATACTGAATTCCACCTTGCCTTTTTCATTCAATGTCATTCAATGTCCTGTCACACAGAATACTGTGGTATAAATATCTCCCTCACTACTTTATTCATAGTTGCACAGAACTGAGAGAATCAAAACCACCATACTGTATTCTAAATATTCTCTACTAATGAATATTTAGACTATTTCAAGTTTTAAAAGTTTATAAGTAATGCTACAATGAACACATTTGTATCTATGCCTTTGTACACATATCCAAGTATATAACTGTAGTCTAAATTCCCAGAACTAGAAATGCTCAGGTGAAGAGTACACTCACTTTCAAAAAGGGTTATACCAATCTATTCTTACAATAGTATTTGAGTCAGGTACTTTTTAAAAAAACTTCATAAAGGTTTCTGATGCACACACATGGTTGATAATTACTGGAAAAGAGCCCAGATTGGAGAGAGGGTGAAACTAAGGTTGCTAAAACAAAACAGAAAGTTTCTGCTGTGATCCAGAAGAAAAAATACGAGGGATTAAACTAAGGCTATGGTAGTAGGGCTGGAAAAGTACAGCAAGAAAAGATGTTCAGGAGGTAGAATTTATAATAAAAATTAAAAGCCTTGTGAGATTAAAGACTGCTTCTAGTACACCGTTATATTCTCAGGACCTGGCACTCATACATTTTTGGTAAATAATGACTAGGTAGGTGGCAAGTTGAATGTGTATGTGTAGTGACGAAGAAAAGGAAGGTGTCAGCTCTGATTCCTGTCTTTCTGACTTAGGAGTCTAGGGAGCTAGATCCTGGATAGAGGAGTCCTAACTGAGACTAGAAGTGTGATTCCCACTTCATGATGATGGATTAAGTACCAGCATCTAATCTCTCCTGACAATTCTCAATGAAACAACACAAAAGATATTTGGGAAAAAAAGATAGATACAACAAATAGGTGACAACATGGGGCAAATATCAGAAGGCATGGGTAAAAAGTGAACAAATAGCCTGAGCTACCATAAACAGCAGTAGCATGTTATTAGTAGAAAATGTGAAGAGACAATAAAAAGAATTTTAAAAGCCTCATTTGAGTCTGTATATCATAGCTATTTGACCATAGGCAAGTTACTTAATATTTCTATGTTTCAGTTTCATCATCAACAAAATGAAAATAACACATATTCTATTGTCATAAGGCTTAAACAAATGAATATATGCAAATACTTAAAATAGTACCTGGTACATAACAAAGTGGAAAAGAAAAGTTTTCTATTACTGATGTCTCGAGAGGCCCAAGGTTAAAAATATATGATTACATTTCTTCTACATGGGTTTAATCGCAGTTTTCTTCTATAGCAAATAATATTTACCAAAAAAAATACTATAAATGCTCTTTACTGGTTTTCAATTATTAGAATCTACTCAGAGTTCTGAAAACTATACATAAGGAGCAGAAGTTTAATATTTTATTACTCTAAGATGTTACCTATACTTAAAACTATACCAACAGGAAAAAGGCACAAAGCCACCAACACATAAAAGGGAAAATTTAAATGCCTTTTGCTTTTATTTTATAAAAATTTGCATGAAGAGATAATATAATAAATTCTGAAAAGCAAATTAGCAAAAAGCTAATGATTACTGTGTAATAGAATTGCAATAACTTTTAATGCTTTTCAATCACGTAGCAGAAGGTATAAGGAGACCCTATGACATATTCTTATGCCAGAAAGGATGGAAGTGCTCAAAACAATATCTAAAGCACACAGAAGCAGGCTTGAAAGGAGCTCCCACTGGCCAAATCTGCCACAGTCAGAGCACGAAAATAGATAAGAACACTGAACCAGTAGGAAAAAATAGAAATAAAATAGGAATCCATGAGTCAGTACAGATACTAAATCTAAAAAAAGAATTTAATCTTAAAAAATGAATGAATGAGTGAATGAATAAATGAATAATAAATAAGTAAAGGGAGAAGGGAAAGTTCTTTCATGATAGTAATAACTGAATCAGGCAAGAACCATAAATGGATGCTAAAACTATTTTGCCAAAGTTTGATAGGAAACAGAATTATTTATATAGTTTTAAAGTATTTTTCAAGTAATCTTAACAGTGTCCTTCGGTTTGTTCTCTGCCACCTGATAGATATAAAATAAATGACAAGGTTAGAAAATCTTCATTTTAGTCACCATTTTGTGAAATGCCAGTGATAAATGAAGGAAACAACAAGGTCAAATATTTAACCTCTTTCCACAAACTGCAATGAAACATCTAACAGAATCAGGGACATCTGTTTTCTTAAGAGTGGCCATTACATTAGGTAGAGATCAAGTAAATGAATAGTGCTAGACAATTCAAAAGAATTAATCATAGCAATAATAAAGCACTATTTCTGATTAACTTTTAATATAAAATCATCACTCAGTTAAATCTACTGATATTCTTATTGCTTTAGAGTAATAAGGCATCATCTAAGCATTCCATGGGAACGACTGAGATAATCCCTAAAAATCACCTACTCCTAATTATGGAGTTGGTATTTTGGTCTACACAAGTGCCTGCTATGTACAAAATAACTTTTCTTTCTCGTACAGAATTAAGTTGACTAGTCTATTCAAGTCTCTTTCAGACTATACAAAGTCTGTTGAATTCCTGCCCCTTCCACTCCAACTTGTGTTAAGAATGCAAAAAGTTCTAAAATCTACTAAAAGCCCCCAAGCTTCCTTAACTATGGTTCTACTATAAAACTAAGCCATGCTTAAAGCTTAATATCATCAATACCTAGAACAGTGCCTTTGAATACAGCCATGATCAGAAAGAAATTTTCATTACATGATGAATTAACCAAAAGTTTTAAAATTTCTACTACAGTAATTAATGGTATTCTTCCTAAAATAGCAATATAATTTACCTTAACATTATAATTTAAAATACATTCAGCAAAAATTCTTTCTACTCTAATACATCTGAAAATATGACACACCTATGAGTAATGTTCAATCACTATGGCAATAATTCTCAAAGACCGCACTAAAAAATTATGAACCACTTTCTATAAAACGCTTTTGATAATCATGTGATTTCAGAAAAGCTTCCTAAAATGACACAGAGGAATATCAATAAACTCATACCTGTTCTGGCATAGCTCCATGTTCAATTCCAGTCTTCAATAATCTGTAGCAATTACCAAAGAGATCCCATTTTGTGAGATCATGAGCACTAAAATAAACAAAAACGTATTAACTTTATTCTAGAGTGGAAGGAAATATAAATTTAAGCTCAGTTTGAGTGGAAGAATAAAATAACTTCATTTCCTTATAAAAATGAAAAAATTTATAAAGTAAATGTTCAAGTGCTCAAACAGAAAGAAAGAGAGAAGAAAGAAAAAAGAAAAAGGGGGAAAAAAGAATTGATACTAAGAATTCATTAAAGAAATCAACAATAAAACTTCACACTTTTCACTGAGGGTTTCTACCACATAGTCAACCAAAGTTCATATTCCATACATGGGTAACCTTTGTAGTATATTTTAAAATACATTTAAAAAAAATATAATCACATGTATTTTTAAAAGAGCAATTTGTATTCACGAAATGGAAATAAAGACAAAACTAGGGGAAAGAAAATATGGTAAAGTCAAAAACTGTGGTATAATAGCTACTTACATGGGTGGAGGACTTCCGAATGAGATCATGGAAACAGTTTATTTTATTTTGTTTGGCGGCTGGCTGGTACGGGATCTGAACCCATGACCTTGGGGTTATATGGCAGAATGCTAACTGAGTGAGCTAACTGGCCAGCCCCTTGTGGTGTCATTTTAAATTCTCATGTGCTCTACTACAAAAAATAGTCCATTTGGGGCCGGCCCGGTGGCGCACTGGAGAGTGCGCCGCTTGGGAGTGTGGTGGCGCTCCCGCCGAGGGTTCGGATCCCATATGGAGACTGGTTCCTGCTCACTGGCTGAGCGCGGTGCAGGTGCGACACTGAGGGTTGCGATCCCGTTACTGGTCCCCGGTGTCGCCGAGGGTTCGGATCCCATATGGAGACTGGTTCCTGCTCACTGGCTGAGCGCGGTGCAGGCGCGACACTGAGGGTTGCGATCCCGTTACTGGTCCCCAGTGCGGGCACGACACCGAGGGGTGCGATCCCGTTACCGGTCAGTAAAAAAGACAAAAAGGAAAAAAAAAAATAGTCCATTTGACACTGGCTGTCAACTCTTATTTTCAAACAATAAAATATTTTTTAAAATAAGAGTTGTTTCCCCGTGGTATTCCAAAAAATTTACTATATAAAGGCCTAGATTTTCGAAACTGCTTTTGAAATTTGAAGTATTCATGAATGTAAAAGCTACATTCAAACTTTCTCTTGACAACAAAGTTGTATGTTTTCCTTTCTTCATGTAACTTCATTACAAGGGATATGCAAATTACAGTTTTAAAATATATATTTCATTGATCTGAGCCTTCTTCCCTTATTCATATCCAACTGTCTGCCTACACAGTAAGAACACAATAATAAACAAGCAAACAAGAACAATGGGGAAAAAGCTTGCAGGAACAACTTTGATAGCTTTCCTCAAAATCTTATCTCTTTTATGCATTTATTTAAGATGACAAATAAAAATTGTATATATTTATCATGTACAACATGTTTTAAAATATGTATACATTGTGGAATAACTAAACTGAGCTAAGTAACATATTGCGTTATCTCACATATTTATTTTCTTGTGGTGAAAACATTTAAAATCTATTCCCTTAGCAATTTTCAAAAACACGATCTATTGTTAACTATCGTCACCACGTTGTACATCAGATCTCTTGAACTTATTTTTCCTAACTGAAATTTTGTATCCTTTGACAAACATGTCCCCAACTCAGCGCCAATATCTTATTTCTCTTTTTTTTTGTTTTGTTTTGGTTTGGTTTTTTGGCAGCTGGCTGGTATGGGGATCTGAACCCTTGACCTTGGTGTTATCAGCACCACACTCTAACCAATTGAGCAAACTGACCAGCCACAAATCTTACTGCTTATTTAACAACACTTTTAAAAGCTATCAATTGAAAATTATATCTTTAAAACTCTAATTTATAAGAACATCTAACTTACTAAACAATACTGATTGAATTAAACTTTTACAGCATACATTCATTACATTAAATAATATATTAATCATAAATCTTGCATCTCAAGTAATTAAATGATAAAACATAATTCATATAGAGAAAATGTGAATAAAGTGAAAACATCACCATTATCTCAATATCTCTCTAAAATTTCCCATTGTTACATGAATGTCAAACATTACAAAGACAGTCTGATATGTTGGCTAGTATGTATCATTTACCTAATCTACTTTACATAAAACAACATACTTGTGAAAAGAAGTTAATCGCTTTAATGTAGAAAGAACATTGTAAATATCATCATCATCAGCTTCTTCTCCCTATGAATAAAAAAATAAATATCACCTCATCACCATAACTTTACTCATCCTCAAATTCACATTAAAGTCTATTAAAAATTATCTTTATTAAACACCCCCCAATCCCAACACCCACAGACAGATAACCAATTTTTGCATTTCAAATAATGTGATAAACATAACTTTGTATATTTTTCTGATTAATTTTATAGGATCCTTGAAATTGAAGTTGCTGAGTAATAGGGTATGTATTTGAAAGATTTTTAATGATTATTTCAAAGATTTTATTGATTGTCAGTTACTTCTATAGCTTGAAAATCACAATGAAAAAAACAATAATGTCTGAAAAAAATTAAAAGTTCTATAGAAGGGAAAGGGCTTTTAAAGAAATCAGTTAGATGATTTAAAAAGAAAATCCTATCAGCTTGGCCATCAGAGCATATGTGGCAGTTCCAGATTGCCTTTCATAGATTTGGGAGAGACGCCAAGAGGCGGCGATCGCAAAAATAATTAGAAAAATAAACAGTTGGAGATGCTTGCTGCTATCTTGGGCACACCACTGGTGAACAGGCATCCTTTACAAGAACACAATTTGTATGTTCTATTCAACAACATCATCATAATTCAGCAACATTAAAATGCAAATTAAGTCCCAAGACTAGAGAATGAAATAATGAGTTAAGAAAAACTAGATCTTAAAAAGATGTTTCTTAAAAGAAGAAAATCATCTGGTTTTCCTGAAACAGATTTTTAAAATAAAAATAAAGCATAACCAAGGTTGATCTTTAGAGGATGCACAATTGAAATACTACTAAGTTTTAAAAGGAGAAAAAGAGAAAACTCTTCTAGATCTTATTTTAAAATGGAAACAATGTACACACTCAGCTATCTTGATTGTTAGACAAAATTATTATAGATACACATTAACTTTAGAACAGACCTCTTGCAATAGGTCTTCCACAGAATGATTGAATCGATCTACAAACTCATCAATCAGCTGGCTTCGGGCTATATCAACTCTGTTCTGGATGGTATACTCTTCACTGCATAAGATGCTATACGTTTTACTGCAGGCTTCTAGAACATCTGACTCTACATGTTTCTCCACAACAAACTTAATCTGTTTTAATAAAGCATCCAGATGCTGAGGAAGAAAAAAAGAAACACCGTGATATTTAGATTAATAATGATAAATAAAAATTAGCCATTTGTCATAAAGCAAATAAGCTTAGATAATTACATGAAAATAAAATAATCCAGTTAATAAAAAGAAACACCGTGATATTTAGATTAATAATGATAAATAAAAATTAGCCATTTGTCATAAAACAAATAAGCCTAGATAATTACATGAAAATAAAATAATCCAGTTAATAAAACTACTATAATAGTAGAATTTCAATTTCATAGTGTCTCACCTTTTCCATTCTGCCTGTGCTGTAGATTTCTAGATCAAAATACTGTGGGATTTGTAGCAAGTTTGCTACCTTCTCTGCATCTGCAGAATACTAGAAAAAGGAGCAAAGGAAAAAGCAGTAACTACATTATAGTGAAAGCAGACTCAGTGGTATATTATCACAAAACTGTAAATGAAACTGTACCTTTGATAGTAACATAGGAAGTGTGATAATAAAATGCTCAGTCAATTTGTTTCTATCATCAATTTGAGTTTTCCTTTCTTTGGCAGTTAGCACCTAGAAATAAATTTAAATGGTAAAAAAATAAGAGTGTCATGCTAATTCATAAATCTAAAATGTTAAACAAAATGACAAACAATTGACATATAATGCTACCGAGAATTTTAAGAGGAGCTTAAACTACTGAAATAAATACATCGTTTTATGCAAATTTTTATCGAACATGTGCTCTTACTTTATATAATAGCTAAAGTTTAGGTAAATTACTACTTGTTTAGATTAAATAAAAAAATAGAAATTTCGGGCAGGCCCGGTGGCGCACTGCTACAGTGCGCCGCTTGGGAGTGCGGTGGCGCTCCCGCCGAGGGTTCGGATCCCACATACAGACCGGCCGCTCACTGGCTGAGCGAGGTGCGGGAGCAACACCGAGAGTTGCGATCCCGTTGCCGGTCCCGGTCCGGTACGGGCACGACACTGAGGGTTGCGATCCGTTGCCAGTCACGAAAAAAGACAAAAAGGAAAAAAAAAATAGAAATTTCTATAAAATCATAATCGTGAATATAAAAATATTAGAACCAATCAAAAATAATATTCCTAGTTAAAATCTCAATGCATTAATAGTCATTTCCCCTATGTTAAACACATACTTTTTTTTTTTCCTTTTTGTCTTTTTTCGTGACCGGTAACGAGATCGCAACCCTCGGTGTTGCGATCGCAACCCTCGGTGTTGCGACTGCACTGCGCTCAACCAGTGAGCGTACCGGTCTCTATACGGGATCCGAACCCTTGGCGGGAGCGCCGCACTCTACCGAGTGCACCACCAGGCTGGCCCAAACACATACTTTTTAAAGTAAAGCTTTTTTAATACCACCAGTAGCTAATAAAATTTCACTTATTTTTAAAGCTATACTAATTATATCCCTAGATTCATTTATATTTGAGTCTCCTTGTAACTAAGCTCATAAATCTGTAGGCACCAATCAAGAGAGAGGGTATAGCCCATGGTCATGGTACAAATTTTAAGATGATAACACTCATCGTGTCAGCCTGTACCTAACTTGTTTTTTTTTTTTTTTTTTTTTTTTT